TGATTCGAATAGGAGATGATGTATGAACCTCATTTAAACATTGTTAGTAGTTAACTGCAAAAGTTGAATGCGTTCATATGCAGAGCATTTAGTCTTCTATTTCTGATCCATTAACTACTAAATTACAACCATTACATCTTATCAGAGACAAAAATAGTCCATATTCCACATACTAATTATCTCGTCCCATTTTATAAGCCACTTAAAGAGATCACATCTTGTTTTAGTAGCATTGTTCTTCATAACAATCTTCAAAATTTTGATAGTTAAAGAGCCCACATCCCAAGGAGATTGAAATGAATCAACTCATTGTGTTTCAGATAGCACTAGGGATAACCCGCGCTTGAAGGCACGACCAACAATTTTTTTAGTATCACATCTGTTACGAAATTCAATTGTAATAAATCAATTCAAAATGATAATATTATTTTAATTTATAATCTCAATGATAAGAAGTTGAAATTGTTTCTACATATTGAACTGACAAAAATATTCATAAATCTCAAATATTAAACTTCAAAAATAAAGTCCAAATAATGAATTTTATGTTTCATGTAGCATAAGCAAAGAATCTAAAAAGATTTGCTAAAATTGAAGTCCCAATAGCAAATTTTATAATTTGATCCATGTTAAAATGACACATTTATAACAAACATTCAATAAAAAAATATTACTGAATTAGTGTCATAACTGGTAACCGTTTTGCCTTATCAGATTTCAATATCTTTTTTGAGTGGATGAATGAATATTTTGATACAAAAGAGTAATCATCCTAGCTAGCCAAAAATAAAACATTAATCATCCAATTTAGAATGAGAGCCAACCAATGGCACACATAGAGTGTATTACAATCACATATGTTCTTAAACTCATTGTCAAATAAAATCACATAATAAAAAGATCTCTACTGAATCACAAAAAATAGAGACCTCATGTCTTCGAACAATTTGATTACATGTCTAACACATATTTTCTATATTTAAGCAAGCATTGCAAAAAATAAATGAAAAAAAAAAAGTGGCACAATAACAGTTGAAATTTGAACTTGATGACAAAATAGTGCCGCATTAGATAACATTTACCCAACAATTCCTTTTTTTCAAATAAAATGTTAGAGAGGAGTCAAACAACTCTGACATGTCACCAAAATGTTTTACAAAATTGACTCAACTTGAGAGATTGTAAGTTGCAACACTTGGACTCTAATCTTACCCTTCTAGCGAATGACTCGTGCCAAAAAATATTTGCATATATTTTGATTTCTTCCAAAACCAACTATCCTTCCAATAACATATAAAAAAAACTCCAATGATTTAGTAATTCTATATGTTTCAATATTTTGATATGAAGTTTATAACCATAAAAATTAGGGATTTTTGGTGAAACCCCCTTTTTGGACTTTTTTATTGGGGTAAAGGATAACCCAATCAATTTTCTTTCAAAAAGTCCCTGAGTAGGAAATGCCTACCTTAATAAGAACATTTTATAATTTCTATTTTTTTTTATCACAATATTGCCCTTCTATATATACGTATCATACATTTGAAATATTTGAAATCTGAGCTGAAGATCTCGCATGAATGAAATCAGGAACGAAATCGATGAAGACGA